ATCAACACCCCATGCTCACCCGTTCCAAGGCTGGCATCACCCGCCCAAAGCAAATACTCAACCTTAACACCACCGTTCCCATTTCCCCCTTACCCCCCACCTACCGTAGTGCTCTTAAAGATCCAAACTGGCATGCTGCTATGGTTGATGAATTTAATGCTTTGATCAAGAATGACACATGGGAACTAGTACCCCCCCTCCCCCCACCAAAATATTATAACTGGTAAATGGCTTTTCCGACACAAACTTGGCCCTACAGGTGAGTTATCCAGGTACAAAGCTCGATGGGTTGTTCGCGGTCTCAACCAGAGATTCGGTGTGGATTACGATGAGACCTTTAGCCCGGTGATAAAACCGGCCACAGTACGGATTGTGTTGAGTATTGCTCTTTCTCAGGGGTGGCCCATTCACTTGCTGGACGTCAAGAATGCATTTCTTCACGGGTACCTACAGGAGACAGTTTATGCCACTCAGCCCTCTGGTTTTCAGGACCCGGCCAAGCCTCACTATGTCTGCAAACTCAAGAAGGCACTATATGGTCTCAAACAGGCTCCCAGATTGTGGTACCACCGCTTCGCCAGCTTCATTCAGACTCTTGGGTTCCGCAGCTGCAAAACGGAAACGTCTCTCTCTTTATCTTCACTCGTGGGACGGACACGGCATATTTACTTCTCTATGTAGATGACATTGTTCTCACATCATCCTCTGATCATCTCCTTCAGCATCTCACACAGCGTCTCAAGGGAGAGTTCGCTATGACTGATATGGGCGATCTGCATTTTTTCTTGGGCATAAATGTACATCGCACTTCCCGTGGGCTCTTTCTTCATCAGACACAATTTATTCATGACATTCTTGAGCGCGCCGGGATGGTCACCTGCCGCCCCATCTCCACCCCTGTTGATACTAAGTCGAAACTCTCCTCTACTGTTGGGCCAGATGCATCCGACCCCTCCCTCTATCGCTCTATTGTTGGCGCCTTGCAGTATCTCACATTTACTCGGCCAGACATCACCTATGCAGTTCAGCAGCTCTGCCTCCATCTCCATGCTCCACGAGAGGCGCATATGACAGCTATGAAGCGGGTTCTCCGCTATCTCCGTGGCACCACTACATTTGGCATCTCCCTCATTCCTTCGCGCACGGACATTTTACAGGCATACTCTGATGCAGATTGGGCAGGCTGCTCAGACACCAGACGCTCTACTTCTGGCTACTGCGTTTTCCTTGGTGATAATCTCGTCTCCTGGTCCTCCAAGCGGCAAGCCACCACCTCTCGCTCCAGTGCCGAGGCCGAGTACCGCGCCGTCGCCAATGCTGTTGCCGAGGCCAGCTGGATTCGGAACCTTCTCCTTGAGCTCAGACATCCCTTGCAGCGAGCCACCCTCGTGTTCTGCGACAATGTTAGTGCCGTTTATTTATCCACCAATCCAGTCCAGCACCAGCGCACTAAACATGTCGAGGTTGATATTCACTTTGTTCGCGACAAGGTCGCATTGGGACATATTCGAGTTCTTCATGTTCCCTCCTCCTCCCAGTATGCTGACATATTCACTAAAGGACTTCCCTCGGTTCTTTTCTTGGATTTTCGCACAAGCCTGGGAATTCGTCCTCCACCGCAGCCGACGTAGCCGGGAGCATGTTAAATATATTTAATATATATTTATGTTAAGTATATTTAATGTATTTATTATTATATCATTGTATTATTGGTAGTTACCTTTTTGTATAGGTTTCCTTACTTATACTCCTACCATGATTAGGAGTCCCATCTTGTATATAAATATGGTTGTACTCCTACACAATCAATCAATTGAAAATATTCATTCTTCACTCCCATCTATGTTCTTAACAAATAATAACAACCTCTTTTTTTGTACACACAGAGCATATTATTTAAATTACGCAATAGCTATAAATTCATTTTTTTTTCGATTAAAATTACTCCAAGATACTGTGATTATTACTTGTATTATATGCTTTGGTTTTTAGACCTTAGGAGAACAATTGCAATGGCTAGTGGTGCGGTGGTGCCACGTCTCAATGTTTGAAAAACTCTACACATAGAAAGACCGACGTGTTACATGACATCTTCGTAATCTTGTCGTTACGGTTTTACGAGACTTGATCGATTTTATTTTAATAAACTTTTATTATCAAATAATCTCAATTTGTATTAAGGTCCGTTTGGTACACGAAATCGGTAGAATTGGAATTGAATTGGAATTAAAATTTCATGGGATTCAATTCCATATAATTGAATTCACTAATTCCAATTCAATTTTTGCACTACCAATTCCAAATCCACATAATTTTTGTGTTACCAAACATGAGAATTGGAATTGAAATCCTCAATTTCAATTCCATAGTTTGAATTCCGTGTACCAAACAGGGCCTTACATAATAATACAATTGAGTAAACTTTTAAAAGTTCTAAACAAGTTAAATTTATTAAAATCATTTTTAAACTAATACGAGTATGTATTATAGTTTTTACTCAATTTAGGTTCAAATGACTCGAAAAAATTAAATTGGACGAAGGCTCCGGGACTATAAAATTAATAATAAAATAAGCCAACAAAGTGAATTAAGTTTGATTCTATGTATAAACAGTTTCTCAGAAAGTCTATAAAAAAATATATATGAGAAACGAGGGGAGTTGTTAGCGGATATTTGTAGTTTTGGACTGTAAATAGTTTATCGGGCCCACTTGTTAACCTAGCCCGTTATGTATTTGTATATATACGCTGCTTGTGATTAATAAAAATCAGTTCAGTTTTTATCTATTTCTTCATGGTATCGGAGCCAAAACCCTGGGCACCATACGTTTGATTTCTTTTTCGATCGACTGACCCACGCCGATCGTCTGTCTCGTCGGCAACTGTGTGTGTTCGACGATCTCCCTGGGCGATTCTTCTACAGAAGCTGCACGGCGACTGAGGATTTGTCTCGGTTTGGTCCTTTTGTGTCAAGCTTCGAAGATCCGTCATGACGTCTACCACAAAGAAAACCCGATTGATCCATGATCCTTCGACTGAGTATTATCTTCATCCTTCCGAGGGCCCAGGTAACGCTCTCACGAAACATGTTTTGAAAGGCGATAATTTTGATACGTGGAAAAAGACTATTGTTAATGCCTTGAAGGGTCGTAGCAAGGCTGGTTTTTTGTCTCCTGTTGGTATGCCTAAGCCGACAGATCCCATGGAACTTGAGGCTTGGGAAGCAAATAACTCTACAATTTGCAGTTGGATTTTTAATAGTGTTGATGAAACAATTCAACCCAGTATTGCTTCCCATACTGTGGTTCATGAATTATGGACATATCTGAAAGCTCGTTATAGCACGGTTAACGAGCCCCATATTTATCAGTTAGAGAATGAATTGCAAAATCTCCGTCAGAAAGGTCAAACAGTGGTTGTATATTACAATCAATTTGTCACTATTTGGAACAAATTATATGGAATGGATGACCCAACATGTGGATGCAAGTGTGAGGCAGCGACACAGTTGAAGGATCGGGCTGAAAAATCAAAAACTCGAAAGTTTCTTTTGGGTTTAGATGACGAACAGTTCGGGAGCATCCGCGGCCAAATTCTTGGAACCCAGCCCCTGGTGGATCTTAACAAGGCGTTCTATTTAATCACCCAAGAGGAACGGCATAAAAACGTTGTTCGTGCTCGAGATGACCACACGGATGCCATGGCGTTTGCTACACCTCGAGCAACCTCAAACGGGTATCAATGCACTCATTGTGGAAAATCGGGGCATACTGTTGATCGTTGTTATATGATTATTGGATTTCCGAACTCGGGCAGGGGACGTGGCCGTCAGTCGCCTAGCCGAGGGGGAGGTCGCGGCAGCAGGGGCGGCCGAACAGGAGCACAACCGGCACCTACTGCCGTCGGGCAGCATGGCGGAACAGCAGGCCCGTCAGCCCATGCAGTAGCCGAATCCTCTTCCCCTCTCTCTGCATTATCATCCGATCAAGTCGCGCGTCTTTTCTCCATGCTAGAAGCATCCCATCCCACTCCTGATAAGTTGCAAGGTATGTTTCGTCCCACTTCGAGTGAATGGTTAGTCGACAGTGGGGCTTCTCATCATATGACAGGAGATTCCTCATATCTGGCGGACATTAAACCCGTAGCTCCTTGTACAATTAGTTTGCCTGACGGGGCACGAGTGGTGGCGAACTCGTGTGGACGAGTACACCTTTCCTCGACTTTGATGTTAAATAATGTGCTCTATGTGCCGAATTTAAAATGCAACCTGATTTCTGTGAGTTGTTTAGTCAACTCTCTTAATTGCCATGTTTTCTTTGATGACCATTTTTGTGTGATACAGGACCGAACTTCGAAGACGCAGATTGGACGACGTGAAGTGCGCAACGGAGTTTATGTTTTTTCTCCTTCTGCCCAAGCGTCCACAGCTGAATCCGTCTCCCTGTTGCATCAGCGTCTTGGTCACCCATCACCCCAAGTTTTATCTTTACCTCCGTTCAATAAAAGCCCGGCTGAAATTAAAAATTTTCAGTCATGTGACATTTGTTTCTTTTCCAAACAAACTCGATCTAGTTTTTCCCAGAGTACTAATAAAGCTGATGCATTATTTGATTTAATTCATTGTGATTTATGGGGTCCTTATTCTCCATGTTTGTCTACTGGTTCACATTATTTTCTCACCATTGTTGATGATTATTCTCGCGCTGTTTGGGTTTTCCTCATTATTGACAAAACAGAGGTTACCAGTTGTCTTAAACAATTTTTTCAAATGATTCAAACCCAATTCGGGAAAGTTATAAAAATTGTTCGCACAGACAATGGTACTGAGTTTGTGAATAAACCTCTGCGTTAGTTTTATACCAATATGGGGGTTCTTGTTCAAACTTCTTGCGTTCACACCCAGCAACAAAATGGGCGTGTGGAACGCAAACACAGGCATATTCTTAATGTGGCTCGTTCACTAATGTTTCATGCATCTTTACCTCTTGAGTTTTGGGGAGAGTGTGTTCGTACTGCTGTGTACCTCATAAATCGAACCCCCACTCCTTTGCTACAGGGAAAATCACCTTTTGAACTCCTTTCTTCAAAACCTCCAGACTTGTCTCATCTTCGGGTATTTGGCTGTTTGTGTTATGTTCGTCTTACCCCACGTCCACCAAATAAATTTCACCCCCGCAGCCTTAAATGTATGTTTGTGGGATACCCTACGAGCACTAAAGGTTGGCGTGTTTATGATCTTGAATCTCACCGATTTTTTCATGCTCGTGACGTTTCTTTTGATGAAACAGTTTTCCCGTTTGCACTGTCCACTGCGCTGACCGCGTCTCCCGAGGCTTCTTCGCGTCCCACCCACGCAGACTTTCCCACCGTCCAACCAGTGTCTGCCGCCGATCAGCCCACATCGCCGGCATCCGTCCCAGCAGTCTCCGGGCAGTCCCCACCTGAAACCGATAGCGACGGTGAGTCTGCCCCGGACAGTCCACCGTCGCCTACACGCCCAACCCGTGATCGGAGACCCCCTGCCAAGCTCTCCGATTACTATTGCCACACCGCCCGGACATCTACTCCCGTTGTTCCTCGCATTGCTCCGTCTAAGTCTTCAGGTACTCGTTATCCTATCCACAATTTTGTTCATTATGAGAAATTACATGACAGGTACCGTGGATTTTTAGCTGCAGTGACTTCTTGCGAAGTCCCAACATCATTCAAACAGGCCATGCAACATGCAAATTGGCGACATGCTATGCAACTGGAAATCAAAGCCTTGGAAAATAATCACACATGGGAGGTAACTGACCTACCCCCGGATCAGACAGCTCTTGGATGTCAATGGGTTTATCGTACGAAGTTTCACTCTGATGGTACGAAGGAGCGTGATAAAGCAAGGCTTGTGGTTTTGGGAAATCATCAGGAATTCGGGACAGATTATACGGATACATTTGCTCCCGTAGCCAAAATGGGGACGGTACGTATTTTACTCTCTGTTGCTGTAGCGCGCGGATGGGAGGTCCATCAACTTGATGTTAATAATGCTTTTCTGAATGGTGATCTGATTGAGGAAGTCTATATGCGCATGCCTCCCGGTTTTTCCATTCCCGGGAAAGTATGCAGGTTACGGAAATCATTGTATGGGCTACGCCAGTCTCCTCGCAACTGGTTTCATAAACTTAGCACTGCTCTTCGCCAGTGGGGTTTTAAACAGGCCCATAAGGATCATACTCTATTTATTCTTCGTCATGGCCCGGATATTCTTACCTTTTTGGTTTATGTTGACGATATTCTGGTTGCAAGCAATAATTCTACCTTATGCACTTCTTTTAAGAGGTATTTGGACAAGTGTTTTCAACTAAAGGATTTAGGTCCGGTTAAATATTTCTTGGGCATTGAGTGTGCTCGGTCTGCTTCGGGCATGGTGTTGTGTCAACGCAAATATGCGTTGGAAATTTTGCAGGAAGCCGGCCTTTTGGGATGCAAGGCAGCTGATACGCCGCTACCTACTACGCACAATCTTGGCCGATCAACGGCGGCTGTCCTCCACGACCCCGCACGGTACCGCCGCATTGTGGGACGTCTGATTTATCTCACTATCACTCGGCCGGATATTTGCTACTCTGTCCATGTTTTATCTCAGTTTATGCAGGCTCCCACTCTTGACCACATGAACGCAGCTATGCGTGTTCTTCGCTACATCAAGGGTCATCCTGGTCAAGGTATATTTCTGAGCGCCACCAGTAATCTCCAGATCTCGGCGTATTGTGACTTCGATTGGGCTAGCTGCCCATTGTCTCGTCGTTCTGTTAGCGGATATTTTATCATGTTGGGGACGTCTCCAGTATCATGGAAAACGAAGAAACAAACTACTGTTTCTAGGTCGTCTGCAGAGGCAGAGTACAGGGCTATGGCTAATGCTTGTGTAGAGATACGTTGGATGCGAGGGATTCTTATTGCTTTGGGCGTGCCTATATTATATCCTCCTAGATTATATTGTGACAATCAGTCCGCGTTGTACATTGCAGCGAATCCTGTTTTTCATGAGCGTATGAAGCATGTGGATGTAGATTGTCACACTGCTCGAGAGAGTGTCCAGCGGCATGAAGTCTCGACACGATATGTCCCGACGAGATATCAGTTAGCTGACATTTTTACCAAACCTCTAGCGAAACCCAGTTTTGATTTTCTGCTGTGCAAGTTGGGCATTCTGGATCTTCATGCGCCAACTTGAGGGGGAGTGTTAGCGGATATTTGTAGTTTTGGACTGTAAATGGTTTATCGGGCCCACTTGTTAACCTAGCCCGCTATGTATTTGTATATATACGCTGCTTGTGATTAATAAAAATCAGTTCAGTTTTTATCTATTTCTACAGGAGTGATATTGTGAATTTTGAATTGATGTCAATTGTCAACAATCTTACGGAATATACCTTATTTGAAAACAACGTTATGATTACTTTAGTATTTTGAAAAAAAATTACGGAGTATATTTTAAATTCATTTTTAAAAATGCTATAACTAAATATTATCATTAGATATTCTTTTAAAAATCAATAAGCTAAGCGCTGAAGTTGTTCCCAAACACATCCTTATATACACTTGTCCTAATTTGGAACAAAGCAGTCGTCGTCGTCAACACTGCCACGCAAACATGAGAAGCGTAAATTTCGGAGAATCTCGCGGGCGACCGCGTCCGCAACGTGGCAGGTCACGAACATTTTCCATCCATACGTTTGAGCAAATAAAAATAAAATTTAGAAAAAAAAAGTAGGCGGGCGGGCCCACCTGTCGCGGTCACCCAATCCTGTCCGGGATGCAAACGGATAAGGACGTGGAGTCCCCCCCGGGTATGGGGAGAATGGATTGCCCGAAACCGGAAATCGGGTGGACTGGGTTGGGCCTCGGAATTGACAGTTCGGACGGGTCGGAATCTGGCACCTCTAGGCCCGTTTGGAGAGCGATATTACACGCGTGCAGTCAGAGTCGTGGGCCCCCAATTACGAATTGGGCCACGTGCATTCCCATGCATGTTTCAACCTGTGATCGGACCCAATTGGTCGTTGGTGGGTGTTCATTAATTATTTACTCCCTCCGTCTCAATTTATTTGCAACACTTCGAACGACGTACAAAATATCATCTCTTTTAAAATCACTTTAATTTCAAATTGGTAGAGTAATAAAAAGTAAAAATTACAGTATTTAAAAGTATATGAAAAGCTCTAAAAAACAAGATGCGATAAGAATATTTTATTTTATCAAATGATCAACCAAAACGAGTAAACAAACAAAAGTTATCGAGAGTCCAGAATAGTAAACGTGACATTCTTTCTGGGACAGAGGGAGTAATTTCAAGGCATCATTTAATCAGCTGGGTTCTAGAGCTACCCAATTTGGATTACAAAATAAATTAAACTTGCACCCACCAATTAATGGATAAGAGGAATGAGTTGGAGTAGAGACTGAGGAGGGGAATGGAGTTATCGAAAAGTTAAGGAGATGAGAACTATTAATTTTAGGAATAGAGCACCGTATGTGTTCCAATAGGGAGAGAGTGGCTTCCGTAACAATTCTTTTTGAGTGGCTCTAGAACCTAGTCGTTAATTAATTAATTAAATCTTGATATTTCCTATCACTCTCCGCCTTTTTTATATTTGTAAATTTTGTCATGCTAGGATACACCAAAATAGTATACTCTATTTGTATATTGGACAAACACAGACACAAAGTATTTGTGATAACATATTTAGTGCCTATGTTTGTTAATCTTATTTGAAACAAAAAATTTACAAAAATTGTCGATAAAGGGGACAATCTTATTTGAAATGAAAAATTAACATAAATAATCAAATTTTATCTCAATCGGTCAAAGTTAATCTAACATCATGTTTTCTCACTACTATGTACTAATTCATAAGCTTGTGCTCCCTTTGTCTGGCGAAAATCTTCTCATGTTCTCTTTCTCTCCTTCAAAAAATATTTTTTTATATTCTTTTTCCATTTATCTACATGTTTTTAAGTTTTATTTTTTAAATTTTATGAAAGTGAAACATACTCCCTCCGTTTTAAAATGTTAGCAATATTTCTTTTAAAATCATTTTATTTACAACTTAGTAGAGAAATAAAAAATACACCGCTCAATAATAGATCTAACATTCTACAAAACAAGATGCAACAAGAATATTTTATTTTATGAAACGGTCAATTAAAACGAGTAAACAAATAAAAGTTACCACCGAGAAGCTAAAATAATAACTGTTGCTTATATTTTGGGCCAAAGAGAGTATAATTTTGTATGGAACAAGGAAGTATTCTTTGTATATAGGACATAAGAATGCAAAAAAAAAAAGATTAGAATAAGATGTATTAACTATTTAGATGAAAAAATGTTGTGTACACTTATTATATTTGGGCACATTCGGTGATAATTAGATAGTGTAATAAAATCGGTAGCAGACTGGCCAGCTTTTCTAGGCCTTGTTTGGAAATAACATTTTGAATTAGCGTTAACGTTTTGGATAAAATATTAACGGTATAGATTAAATCAAAAAACTCTAATGCTAAAGGCTACCCATAGATAACCTTTTCAAAATGCTAATGCTAATATCTAACACTGATGACAAACGGGGTCTAAATGTTGAGTTCATTATACAACTTATAATTTAAGGCTATTTTGTTCAACGAAAATGCAATGTAAGATATTAATTTTTTTCCATAATGTATAATTATAAATAGATTATTTTATTAAAAATAAAGAAGCTATTTTGTAAAATTCAATAAATTAATTTAAAAAATATAATGAAATATATGTTAATCTCATTTCAAATAAATACTCCCCCCGCCCCCTGTTTTTGTCCAGTTTTGACTTTTGGAACTGTTCATCTAAGTACTTTAACACATCAAATTCTCTCAATGTGTAAGCCTAAATATAGTCATATGTGACCTTGTTTGATTTGTTTTAACATATAAATTATTAATATATAATTTCTATAATTTTTTAATATACAAATTACAAGATAAAATGAATTAAAGAAGTGCATTGAATGATGTGCAAAAATGAAAGTAGACAAAAACTAGGGGACGGAGGGAGTATAATTCTGAGATATTACGAAATTACAAAGAGAAATCAGGAAATATATATTACTATTTCTCGTTTTTTCCATCCCATTTTATTTTACTTTCTGTTTAGTTTTTTTAAAAAATTTACTTAAATAGTACTAAAATATAGTGAGTTTTTTAAATGTAGTACCATATGTTTTTATTTTTCAATGTAGTAACGGGTAAATTTTACAAATGGTACCTGAACTTTAGCTGGAATTTCGAAGTAGTACCTGAACTTCAAATCCTTTCACAAAAATCTCTGAACTTACACAATCCTTTCACTAATGAGCCATTAGCCCGTTTCTAGGTTAACTTCCGGTCATTAGAGACAAATTCGAATTTTATATATTTTAAAATTTTCAATTT